TTTGCTACTCCACTCATGCCTGTGATTATCTTCAGAGTCATGACCAATCCTGATGGAAGGCTTTGATACGTCCAGGATAATATCAAACACTTGTGTTACACTGCAGTGTAATCTGCAATGACAAAGTACTTGAGAGATGGCCTTACATGGACATCTGACAGACTAACCCCACCCTGGACTGGAATGTCTTTCATGCACAGAGATCCCCCAAAAGGACATAAAAGATTTTTAACATATCCCAGATTACCCCAAGGATCTTCTCTCTCACCTTTCCTCACATTGCTCTCTCCATTGCTTAAGTCTGTTCTCCCTCCCTAAAGAACTGTTATTTAGAACACATCTTTTTGGATGTTCCTTTTTCATATGGCTTTGTATGAGCCAAGAAACACCAGTCTTTCACTGCTCTCATTTCACTAGGACTGTCTGCATTATTTAAGCTTTCATGAAAACGATACCAATATACTAAAAACTACACTAAACTACACTGAAATAACACAGTCAGTAATACTGATCAGTAGCAATACCACTGTGTGTTCCATACTCATAAAGCAAATGGACTTCATGAGCATTTCCTAAAATGTTGGTTGCCTACAAGACTTGTTCTGTTCTCTGATAGATACCAGGGGAGGAAAGTCTACAGTGTAGCAAGAAGCTTTACAAGCAAAGATACAAGCCACTAGCACCAAGGCTCTAGAGAGACTGGCTGCTCCCAGATACTCCGGTTTGGGTTTAACTGTTTAACTTAGTGAGGAAAGCAGCACCGCAGTAAACACAACTTCAGCAAGTGAAGTGGAAATGACAAGCTGTGTCTGAGCTGGTAACACCACTAGAGTTCACTACAGGAAAGGAGAAGAATGCAAGCTACATGTGCAGTTAGTATGGCAGATTCATTCCGCTCATACAGTAAGCCCAGACACTAAGGTCTGAGAACTTCCAGCAAGGTTAAACCCAACATTTGGTCACTATCACCCTAAAAATGCCTGCACTGTAAATGCTGACGTTTTCTGTGGCTTGGATTTGCCTTTCAACCTGCAAAGCTGCATGAAAACTGAAGTGTAGTGAGTTAAGTGGAGCACACTTGTGTTTCTTTACCTTGGAAGTTTATCTAGCAGAGTCTTCAGTTCATCACATATGAGTTTAACTAAGCCACTCTTTATGTTTCGGTATGATACATCAATCATGAAGATATAAGCTGGTGGATTTGGAGGCTTCTTGTTCTACACAAAAAAGAAAAAAGACCATTCACAGGGAAAAATTAGACAGTGCCCTGTCATAAGTAGTAACTACTGCAGAAATGCAGACATGCATTGGGTAAAATCCAACCCTGGAATAAAACATGACCATGGGAAAGCAGCATCCTAATGGAATAAAATATCCAAAGGGTAACAGTTTATTAGATGAGCTGACACACAAACATTTTCTGCTGGAAATCAAGTGCTTAAACAAATTTGCCTTTTGGCTTTCTTCTGTACCCATACTGGTTTTGCATTCCCTATGCAATACCATTGTGGTAATGTGAACGCTTCAATTCAGCTTTTCTTAGCATTTGCTTCTAACAACTCTTAAGGGATTTCTAACCAGTGTGGAAACAGAACATACAACTTAGGTACTGAACAGAACTAAAATATCTCAGTTCTTAGCAGTACTAAGTGGTGACTGTCTGCATCCTGTCTGTCTGTCTTGCTGGCTCATGCTGCTGTGCATTCCAGACAGCTGAACTGTACTTTCAGGAATAAACTGATTTCTGTAAGACAATCAATGCACGGGAGTGGAACTCTGCATATGTCTAACTGCTGCACACATGGCAGCATGGGGCCGGGGCTGGTATGGATTTCTCTGGGAGCTCCTTGTGTCTGCACCATCCCTGGCTTACAAATTGTGCACACACTACTGACACAGGTTCCTTTGAGTAAAAACAAGTGAGGTTTTTTTGTTGGGTTTTTTTGTAGCACTGCAGAGAGCAACAGTAATCATCACACTCCCTAAAATGAGTTTCCCTAATTCCCATTAGGCAAGTAGTGGTCCTTACACGGTGTCAAATTCAGGACAGCTTTCCCATGATGCTCTTTCACTGCCTTCACACAGAGCTCCGACCACTGAAATTATACTTGTTAAATTAAACCTCAGAAAACTCCATTTTAACCCTTGAATTACGACTTAGCCATAGGCCCTGGCACACTCTGAACTAAACTAAACATTATACCCTTGATCTCCCTCATTGCACTCATGTAAATCAGGATTAATTCCTCTGAACTAAAACCAGGCAGTATGTATCAAAGCTGTTCTGTTTACTGTGCCTGGGTTCTCCTTTCAGGAATAGCACCTTGCACTGCTTCTAAACTCTTGTGTCAGATCTCCATTTGTAAAGAATCTCTGCATAATTTCTGACAAATATATGGTAGGAAGGAAGACTTGTGCTCTCGCCACATCCGCTTAGCAGGAGCACAGTAATGCAAACCAGCTGGGATTTGTTAACGTTTTTTGGAGCTGTTCATCCTTGTCATTTGATAAGCACAAAAGGAAATGACTTCTCAGTTCTGGTCTTGAACTGGATTTATAAAAGAATTAAACCTCTGCAAGTTGGAGCCAAATTAAAAGTGAATTATAAAATAAAGTGAACTTCTGCAAAACATTATGACTTAGCATTTCCAGCCTGAGTGTTAATTTCAGAAGAGATTTCTCTTCTGTAACATTCCAGTGAGTCTATGGAATTGTCTCTGCAACAAACAGACAGACCTTACTGCACGACTTCTCAATGAAACTCCTTGAATTAAGGTATATGGCAAAAGCTCCTGCCCTGAAAGCTGCACTGTGATGATGACTGGGTACACTCAGAGCAGAGAACAAGTGTAAGAGACACACATGAGCTTTCAGAATTTAATGGAGCGACACTGGATGTACACTGAGCATCCAACACTGTAGTTCTGTAATGCCTCACTACAATTCTCTCCTGTTCTGGGGTTTAACCCAGGTTACAAGAAAATCTTCACAGGTTATCTCACAGATTTTACTGGATTGTGGAGCAGTGCCTCAGTAAGAAATAAGAACTAAATCTGTTCATTGTCTTCCTACCAGCAATAATCTGATGGTCTCAGGAAGTTACTGGTAGCTACTTCAAGACTTGGCAGGACCCAGTTACCTTTCCTAACCTTATCACGACCTCAGCTCCACTCAGGGGAAGAAAAATCTGCCTGATTTCAGAAAAGTATGTGCTGTGGTCAGAGGAAGTCACACTTGCAGTTTTGTAAAATGAGCTGAAGTTTGAACAGTTTAAGTAATCTGTGCTTTCAGAAGTACCAAATACAGTTCTCTAATAAAGCCAACTACAAATATTTACAGTGACTGGAGTGGGCTTTGGATCAAGTTCTTCAGTTAGTTGGTATTAGGAGAGAGAACCCAATCCATTGTAGCTTATGGTCAGAACACTAAAACTACTCTTGCCAGGAAAAGATTCCAAGATCAAATTCCCTTGCTAAGGTTTTCAATATTGGGAAGGCAATTTAGGCATGTGTCTGCCTCCAAAATCCACAGAAGACAAACTGATGCACTGTTGCATTTCAGATGTCAAATGTACCCTCTGAACAAGCTGGGTAGGACCTGGTTAAAGACTGGTGATCCATGACTCTGCCGTGCTGTTTGTTATCCTTACCTGCTCATCTCAAACTCTGCAGCACAAAAGAACAAAACATTATATTCTCCACATCTTATCTACATTTTCCAGAATGTTCCTGGGCTCTGATATTCAGCTTACAAGTGCCTTTACTCATTGTACATCAGTTTTCAGACTGAGAATACTCACTCGGCAATAGTCCAAAGTAGCAACATATTCATAAGATCCCAGAGACAGCTCAGGCCTTTCGTACTGGTCCATCCGTCGGCCCATGTGGTCCAGATGTTGAAAGAAGAACTGAGGGACTACAAGTACAGGAAAAAAAAATTATGCTTTGGAAAGGAGAGGAGCATCACAACAAATTCCTTCAGCAGATGCACTGTACTGATCTAGGCTCCTCTGTTTCTGATCAAAGGAAGAGCTGACACACTTCACCAGGTTGCAATGGGCTTTTCCCCTCACATGGGCTTAAAGAATCCCAACCAAATAAAACCCCACAACATTCCAGTAACTCCAGCTCCTTTTGCATTTGGAGGATGGGGCATATTTCCCTATAAATGTCCATATCCTCCCACCTCTACACTGTCAGGCTTGAGTAGGTAAAGCTGACCCAGGTCATCTCCACAGGTAGGAGGCTGTGACCCTCAGGATAGACTTTACAGGGACTATTTTGTTTGTTAGCACATGCAGTCTACTTCATTCAAACCACTGGGGCCAGAGCTGCAGAGGGACAGCAGTCAAAACAGCACTTTTCCTGAAGCCTGTACTGCTCTAACCAAGAACACCACTGTACTGGAAAGGGCACTACGAGGTTCACAACCCTGGCCTAGTGTGTAAGTGCATCAGGTCTGTTATACTGGGAACCTTCTCCAGGTACAGATAAAAGATGTGGAACTCCAAGGCAGTAAGAGATCAGGTGGGTTTGCTAACAAGTTAACACAGAGCTAGTCTAATAGCTAGAGTCACACTGGGGAAGTGTCACCTGTGGGGTTTGGCTCCTCTTCCCTCAATAAATGCATATTCAGAATGCTTATTTTTCGTATTTTTGCCTGTAAAAGAGTGTGAGTGAGGGGACTATCTACCTTGTTTCTTGGCCATTTTTAGTCCTCATCTAAGGCTGGTTGTTTTTGCTAAGTGCTTTCTGACTTGAAGACACCATAGCAATACAAAGCCTGATTTAGAATGACACTGCAACTTATATGTCTTTCTAAAAGTGTTGTCAATGCATTTAAATTTCCCTTTATGAGAGTTTAAATTGTTAACAAGCTATGAAATTTATTATCTGCTATGCCTGCACAAACATCAGAGCACCAGGCAGAAAAGCAGTTGGAAGGAGCCTGTCAAGGTTCACGTTTCAGAGTTGAAAAGATGACTGTATTAGGGAAAGCACTATACCCCTGTGATCCAGCTGAGGAAATCCAACTTGATACAAATGTCTAGAAAGGCTAGTTCTGGCAAAGATTTGGGATTTAGCCAAGAGCACAAGAACAGTTATGAGTCACATGCAGCACACTTGAACAAATATGGCATGGTATCTTCTGTGAAAACCAACACTGGTCACAGTAAGATTAATAGCTTATTTAACCATTGCATCCACAGTCATGGACAGGATGAGGCTAACATGGGTCGAAACATTTGCTTCTTGCTGGACCTTTAGAGTTCTTAGGGATACATTTCTTTTTAGCGTTATGGAATTTGTATGAATCACAGATCAGAGAAACATCACTTACCATCATTTATACAGCTGCAAAATCCACACTGGTATCTTCTTCCACCTTCAATAAACTGCATGAAGGGACACATGTAAGCTTTGCACCGGTTGCATCGGATCGGTCCAGTCTCCCCATGGTTTACAAGGTAAAGAGGTGTCTAGATGAAGAGGTACAGAGAAAGCAATGCAAACTTGAAACCAAAGCAAGCTAGAGAGAGTTAACTCACATTTCACTCTTGTTAGAGATCACCTGGTTAAGAGATTTCACTGCTGGCTATTCACCCAAAATCTGTGGTATGGTTGGCTCAGCCCCAGAGATCCCCCTGGGGGCTGAATTTACAAGTTGACAGGCTGTATTCTGATATTCATCAGAAAAAGAGTAAGGATTCAGACCAAAACCCTACAAAGTTTTGAAAGCATTGGAAGTTTACAGCTCCAGGCTGATTTTCTCCACCAAAGGGCAATTTTTACAGCTCACTAGGAGAAATCCGCTGGAGTCAGGTCTTTTGCCTTCTCTGTCAGATTGAGCTTATCCTGAAGAAATCTGTTGCTGTTCATCTATTGCAAATGGGTATTTGCTAAGGAAGCTTCTAATATTCTGTCCCAAATGCTGCCCCCCCCAAGCTACACCAACATTTACATGATGTCAGGGTCACCAACTAGAGGAGGAGATTTGGGAGAAATACTGATATTTACTGAAGGAAAGAATACAGAGCAAATTAATAGAGTACCTCAAGCACTTGTCAGTTTAATTACACTGCCCTCACTTGCTTACAGGCTCTGCCAAAGCCCACAGCTAATAGGAGACATTTTCCAGATGTCTCTTTCAGTAAAAACTGCAGCAACTGAAAGATCCTGTGATTATTCTTAATGCTAGAAAATTCATACTTGAAACCACTACAAAAATGGAAGTTTGCTCAATTATTTGTGAAACTCTCTGGGTTTTATTTTTCCTTGGGTTTTTTTCCTACTCCTTTCAATCCCAACTAAAAATCTCTGAACATAAGAAATGTCCAGAGTTTGGACACATAGCAGATCCCTACAAGAGGAAAAATGCTGACAGCCTTTTGATGCTAACATACCACACTAGCACATTCTTTACTTTTTTTTAATTACTCTGTCTCTTCAGAAGGAATGGATGGATTTCATCTATTGTACACTTTAGCTCTTATTGGAGCATGTGTCTTTGAACACCTAGAAAATCATTCATGCCCTCTAGCATTAACTGCTTACAGATATTTTATTGTTTGTTTATATTTTACAGAGACTATTTTACTCATTTATTTCTCCAAAGGGTTTAATGCATTTTGCCAAGGATTTTCTACACATGAGTAGGTTTTTACTACATGGGTTTTAAGTGCTCCCTTCTGCTCCACTTTACTTTGTGCTCTTTCCTCTAAGAAAATTGAGTTTAACCCAAATTAACCAATAATGCCAGCTGGCAAACTATCAGGGTCATTTTTCAGACATGAAAGCCTTGGCGACAAACCTTGCTCATCAGCCACAACTGCTTAATAAGTTTTAAAAGTTCTGGGGTTTGTTCATTACTTGGCAATTTTCTGATTATCATTCTGCTGTGTTAGTTTAATGAGACCTGGACCTGCTTTGCAGTTAATATTATTACAGTATCTGACCTGGTAAGGAAAAAAAAAAAAAACGACTAAA